GATTTCTATTAAAACAATAGTTAGAGATTATTTCTCTTCCCCTCTACTCTTTCACACCTTTTAATTCCAAAGAAAGGCTGTCATTAAGTATGTCGTGATGACCTGGAAGATAAATTCATGGAAACACAGAAAAACTATTCATGTTCAAGTCTACCTTTACATATCTGCCAGAGTCAAACCATGATGTAGCTTAACAAGTTACCAAGCTACACAGAGCCCTCAACTGTCAAAAAGAAAATATCTGTACAGGTGTAACTAATGCACAGAAATATTTGGGGTAAGAAGATGAAAACAGAAGCACAGAGCATAGGCGGGAGCAGTGCAGCTGCACCCTCTCCTTACCCGCAGGATCTCTCTGGAGATATATGCGATCCAGTCTTCTTTCAGCGTGTTCCCTTTGGTGTTCTTCACAAGGTCTGTGATGGACCCCGCTCCACAGAACTCCATAACAAGCTACAGGCAGACAAGACACACTGTGACTAACACAGCCCGGATTTAAATATACATCCAAGAAAAGTTAGGAAAACACAGTCTAATCCCCACCTTCCCCCTTTCCTAAAGGCATGGGCATGTGATCATTTGGGAGGCATCCAAATTACTGAAGCTCATTTCCCAGTCAATGGTATTCACTATGTACATTTGGTCCAGGAGATTCAGAGTGTGTGAAGTTCTACAGAAGCCCCCTGTGCAGCGGTTCCTGAGTGCTTGCACTCTTTCACAAGCACACGGGCAAGGGAGGACCATGTGTACTTCATCACTGCCCAATAATCAGAAATCTGACTCAAATACACCCTACCATTCTTTCTGATTTTGCCTCAGGGATGTTCTATTTTTCACATATTATGGTCCTCAAATTATTACATATTGACTGGGTCTTAATTAACACAAAAGAAAAAATGCTATTTGTAAGCAGTTATGTATTTTTTTAAATGCAATATTTATAATATCTAAATGTTTGAACAGTATGATCACAACTCTATGAGGGTACTTCAAAATAAGAGTTAAAAGATAATACGGGGCCGGCCCGGTGGCGCACTGGAGAGTGCGCCGCTTGGGAGTGTGGTGGCGCTCCCGCCGAGGGTTCGGATCCCATGTGGAGACCGGTTCCCGCTCACTGGCTGAGCACGGTGCGGGCGCGACACCGAGGGTTGCGATCCCATTGCTGGTCCCCGGTACGGGCGCAACACCAAGGGTTGCGATCCCGTTACCGGTCAGTAAAAAAGACAAAAAGGAGAAAAAAAAAAAGATAATACGAACCTTTCCACGAACTTTTTGAAGTATGCTTGTATTTTTAAAGTACCTAGAAAATGAACTGAATTGAACTATTCGAAAATTTTAACTATGATTGGATTTGGGCAATGGAAATAAGGGTAATTTTTTTTTCCCCTCTACTTTCTCAATTTTGCAAACATTTTCTGTAAGGGCCCTTAAAAGAAAACCATTAGAAAAGTATTAATCTATCTTCCTGCTTTATAAATTCAATACCTTGAGCATAACTAATGTGATAACCACAGATCTGACAGTATCTAAGTGCCATCACCTCGAATATAAATATGTTCAAAAAGACATAAGGTTGAATATGTCAATTCCAGAAATTTCCCTGGAATATACTATTTCTAATTAACTATTATTATTATTATTATTATTATTATTATTATTATTATTAATAAATTACTCACAGAAGTCTTTCCTTGAGATCTGTCTCTCACTTTCAGGTAGTAAAGAAATATCAAAGTTATTGATCTTTCTATTAATTAGTTCCCATAAAGTTTTTATTGTATTGCTTTCAAGTTCCTAATTACCTTTCACTTAGGTCATATTCCTTCTAGAAGGTGCCATTTTATTCCTGAAACATTAAGTTAATCTTTTATCCATGCAATGCAAAATCAACATTAAAATAAACATTCAATATATTTTCAACCAAGAAATAAAGGCCAAGGAAGCCTTCAGAATCTAGTAGCTACAACCCCTCTTTGCTTTTCTCTCCCACCCCCTAAAAAGTCCTTATAGTACAACCCAAGAGAAAAGCCCACAAAACGCTCAGAAAACATCCACCTACCCAGAGTTGGTCATCATGTCCTGGAGGGCTCTTTTTAATGAAAGCACCATAATATGTTGCAATATTTCTATGATGAGAATATTTCTTCAGCATATTTATCTCCAGTTTGATTTCTTCCTCTTCGTCCTTAAGAAAAAATAAAAATAAAATGTGTGGCTTTTGAATGACATGCATGACTTCACTTTCCACACACACACAATAACAAGAGGAATACAGTAGCAGTAATGTACAACTAAAATTTGTATTAAAAAGACATTTTCTCTTTCTGTTGGGTCTCAGCGTTAATGTCTAATTAAGGATGTTGTAGCATTTATCTTAAATATATTTGCAAACCAAACTTCCTTTTGGTCTGTAAGGTTTTCAGAGTGGTTTTGGTGATACTAGGCTAAAGCAGTAGGCTTCTTCAGTGTGCAAGTCTGCGCATGCACACGTGAGGATATACACAAGAGGATATACACGGTCACTTTATCCTCGTGCCAAGATCTGGGGACTTTAGGGGGACTCATCCTTTGAGGTGTGGTTTCGGGCTATGCAAGAACTACATGAAATATAAAAGGTGAAGATGAACATGGGAGGCAGCACAGAGAGTGCAGCAAGCAGAGTGCGCAGCCCAGCTCCGTCCCACCACCATGACCTTGGGCAATTCTCTCTACTTCTTTGGGCCACAATGTGCTCATCTGTAAAAGTGGGACAAAAAAAGGGAATTGACTGATACTCATATTTCAACTAATTACTAGGAAAGGCTTTTTCTTTCCTTTCTAGAAAACATTTGTGAATACAAATTATCTGACCCACTTAAGGCCAGAAAAGTTTTACATCTAGCAACCCCACAGCTACAGCATCACCCTCTGCGTGGCCACGGACACATTACTAAATACAGGAATACAGGCCAGCAGTGCTGCCCTGAGATGGTGCTTAGTGAGAATCCGCTAACCCAAAGAGGTTAAGGTGAGTCCAACAGGCCCCAGTAACAAAACATCACTCAGCACGTTATTTCGGACTTGGCTCCTCCCCTAGCCTTTTGCTTTATTAAAATAAGATGAGCAGAGGAAGAAACACAGAGTTTGCATGAGGGACAGGTGAGGGTCAGCTGAAGGAAAGAGACTGTGACACTCACTCAGCACGTTATTTCGGACTTGGCTCCTCCCCTAGCCTTTTGCTTTATTAAAATAAGACGAGCAGAGGAAGAAACACAGAGTTTGCATGAGGGACAGGTGAGGGTCAGCTGAAGGAAAGAGACTGTGACACATGTCTGCTCAAATGATGAGAGCTGAGCAGTCTCCACCTTTCTCTCACATATACCCAGGAAAGAAACTGCGCCAGCCAGCAAGGGCATTCCATTCCTTATTACACATGCATGACAAACTGCCTGCAAAGAGTCTGGTTAAAGAAGATTTCCAGGTAGCATGAGAATGAGGGGAAAGCAGGATTAAAGTGAGAAAGAAGAGAGAACGTGCAGGAAAAGACAAAATCACCATTGGTTAGAAAAGAAAAGTATAAGATCACTGAGAAAAATCCGATGACTAGATCTCTAGAATTCCCTACTCTACACATATTTTCAAATGAAAATGATGACTGGCTCCATAAACCTTTCTTATGTTTCTATACTGACACACTCATTCTACTTATTTCTGATGTTCTTCCCTCTTCAGGGTCCAGATTTCTTAGTCGTCTAGCCACGTGTGTGTGCACATGCAATAGACAGTACACGCACACACGTGTGCATGCACAGACATGCATACTGTAGAAGAAGCAGCCTACTGCTTTAGCCTACTATCACCAGAACCACTCTAAAAACCTTACAGACCAAAAGGAAGTTTGGTTTGCAAATATATTTAAGATAAAAGCTGCGACATCCTTAATTAGATATTAACACTGAGACCCAACAGAAAAAGAAAATGTCTTTTTAATACAAACTTTAGTTGTACGTTACTGCTCTGGAAACCAAATGAAAAACAAGACCAAGATTCTCAACGTGGTAGCTTCCCAGTTTGGTTTCAAGACATAAATATCAGAAAATTATACTATATTCTAAAGGCACTATCGTCAGATGACTGATAGATGACTACAAATGTGGCAGAAGAGTCAAATGGCCAACTACAGTCTACATAATAATTCCCATTCAAATCCTGTATAGGAAAATTATATCAAATGGGCTATCATTTCAATCTGATTTAAACACGGCCATGCTTAAAGCAGCAATAAAAACGAGATATTCAATAACTAAGATAACTACCTTAATTCTTTTTTTTTTTTTTCCTCCTTTTTTTTGTCTTTTTTCGTGTCCGGCAACGGGATCGCAACCCTCGGTGTTGCGCCCGCACCTTGCTCAGCCAGTGAGCGGGAACTGGTCTGTATGTGGGATCCGAACCCTCGGCGGGAGCGCCGCCGCGCTCCCAAGCGGCGCACTGTAGCAGTGCGCCACCGGGCTGGCCCCTACCTTAATTCTAAACAAAATCAGTGTTTAGCCTGGCTAGTTTTACAGAAAAACGCACTTCTATTTGATTCCTTTCTTCAAAGGAACTTTATACTGAACAGAAAAGGGTGATGATTTTTATTAATATAAAGCATGAGGAAGCATGCCCCAAACAAAACTAGAAACCTGACTCATCAGAAACTTCACTTTGTGCTCCCTCCACACACTCAGAACCCTAATGAGGCTTATCAAACAGAGAGGTTCCTAAAGAAAGTTAGCATATGGCAATGGACATAAACATGCCCCTGTTCAAAAGACACGTGGTGTTACTCCTGGGATAAGGGCCAGATTACACATGTTGTGCCCTGAAAAGCCAAATATCCCACTTTCCTCACACTGAACTGCATTTAGGTGATCGGAAAGTGAACTAAAGGTTTGATTTTCTCTTCTTACCCAAACAGTAAACCTATCAGGATTTGGGGTACAAAGACTAGACAAAAAGAACAATGATGAACTAGAATAGGGAAAATCAAAATATTGAATTTTGGTTTTGTAATAAGAGCAATCAATCCTTCACGGAGTATGTGAATTTTACTGGATATTACAGGCTTGTTTTGTTGATCCACCCCCTGACCCGTGTCTCCTCCATTCCCCATACTGGCTAGGTTATTCCCAGGGTCACTATTCCCTATCACACTCTGCCAATAGGTCTCACTTCTTGACAGAAAGCAAATGCTACCTACTTACCTACGATTCTCCCATGAGAAGCTTCATGAGCAAAATTAAGGATTATAACATATTTTGACAGTTTCAATGTTTTTAGAGACATAAACCAGTGTCTTCTAGGATCTAACTTGTTCACCACTCCATAAAGATCAAAGTTCCCTTAGGCACATGATGTTTTCATGGCCCACTGAGTTCAAAATCTAGCACACGTTTTAAAGTTCTTATAGATTTAAATTCAGTACTGTTCACAGGTGTGAACACTGAATACGCATACTGGTAAATACTGTTGGCAGATTATCACAGCACAACGTATTTTGCTGAATCTAAAATGCCCCTGGATAGAGGCACACCATTCCTTTATGTAACGAAACTGTGATGTACCATCGACCATAAGACACACATTGTGACGTCTTCAAAAATGGGCTGATCCTCGAATCAATGAATTATAATAACTTAAATACAATGAAGTCAGGCAATAGCATTTGTAACATGACTGAAATTATCCAAGTATCATCCAGAAATACAGTGATCAGATCAATGTCACTTGCCAGAGTATTTCCCAGGTCTAAAGCAGTCAAACCCTGGGAGCATATAAAACTGAACTACAAAAAATACTGAGGGGAAATGATATTCTTCTCTTGAATTACTGTTTTAGGATGAAGTTTACATATACTTTAAACATTCCCTCACTTGTTTTCATGATTTTAAAATAGATGACTATTACACAGCTTATAAAATAAAAAGGCACTTAGCACCACTAATTATCATTTACTGTCTAATTATGGGCCCACCTTAGAGAAAAAGTATCAGAAATATAGAATCTGCTAACAACTTTGAGCCAACTACAACTGGAATCCTAATTATGACTGCTGTTTATTATACAGTATTTTACGTTGTCTTTAGAGTAGAGTAATAATGAACAAATTTCCGTGTTCCAATCTCTCTTTGGTCATTATTTAAAAACAGGTATGGTGGTCTCATTCCAACTCTTAAATACATACACACATACCACTACCATCACCACTAACATAAACTCCCTAGTCAGCCTGGGAAGATACAGCAGAAAACAGACGTGGGACTGGCTAAAACTGAAATTTAACAACACACACACACACACACACACACACACACACACACACACACACACACACACACCACCCCCACCCCCCACCACCACCTAAGCCAAGTCCAAACTACATGCCCTTCACCCTCTTTTTTGTTTAGGAGACCACAAATGGGGGAAAAATTAAGGGTAACTTCAGAGGAGAGAGGCCTTTTTGGTAAGGGAAGGCTCCCTCCTGGTTTTCTCCAATGGTGAGGCAGCTGCTAGCCCCCTACTTAGTTATTAAATGCACCTGATACCAATTAGCATTTTGGACTCTAACCAGTGGGTGCAAACTCTCACAGAAAAGGTCTTTGTCTCAGGCTGGGCTCTGACTAGGCAATGAGTTTTCAGTTGCCTCCTCTGGCTGTCAGAGGTGGGAGGAGGGGAGAACATCTGTATAGTGGGGATTTTTGCAAGCAGCTATGGGTTTGCAACACACACACACACACGCACCACCCCCACCCCCCACCACCACCTAAGCCAAGTCCAAACTACATGCCCTTCACCCTCTTTTTTGTTTAGGAGACCACAAACACATACGAATGGGGGAAAAATTAAGGGTAACTTCAGAGGAGAGAGGCCTTTTTGGTAAGGGAAGGCTCCCTCCTGGTTTTCTCCAATGGTGAGGCAGCTGCTAGCCCCCTACTTAGTTATTAAATGCACCTGATACCAATTAGCATTTTGGACTCTAACCAGTGGGTGCAAACTCTCACAGAAAAGGTCTTTGTCTCAGGCTGGGCTCTGACTAGGCAATGAGTTTTCAGTTGCCTCCTCTGGCTGTCAGAGGTGGGAGGAGGGGAGAACATCTGTATAGTGGGGATTTTTGCAAGCAGCTATGGGTTTGCAAATGAGTCATGTGACAAGCCCTGCCCACCCCAC